GACCTCTCTCTGGGTCTCTACTCCAACTGAGCTCTTCAGACCTCTTTCCTGCAGCCAGGTTCCCATTTTGATCCTATCAAGGCTGTCTGGTTTTCATTTCACCCTTCCTTTTTGAGTGGATTTGTCTTGAAAGGCATGAAAAGGCTGGGCTCCCAAGCTACCTCCTCTCTTCAAGAGCCACAGAAAGGTAAGTGCATGTATTTTTAAACCACACCAAATTTCTCCCTAATGCAACACACTGAAATAAAGCTACTCACATCAATGTTGCTGCACTGACCTTTTATGTGACCCCTTAGGTTTAAGTCAAATAAACTTCTGTTTTCCTGGGCAAGATTTCCTCATAACACCCTCAAATGATCTTAAGTCTGCAAGGAGTGACAACGGGTGGTTCTGCAAGCAAAGCACATGTGTTATGGAGGTTATTAAATCATAAAAGGGGAGTTTGTGTATATATCAGGGAGGGGGGGGATCTATGTGCATCTCTACCAGCAGTTTAAAGCTCTTTGAGCCTGCAGAAATAATGGCATTTTGTTGAAGAAACAAGAAGCAAACTGCACAGGGGGGGTGTGGGTTCACAGACTCCTCCTCACTGGAGGTCTGAACCTTGTTGGGTTGCAGGCTGAGGTGCCCTGCAGTCCCACAGGGTGTTGGGGGGAGGATGGACCAGGAACAGCATCAAGGAACAATTCTGGCCCCCCCCAATGGGAAAGGGAAAATGAGTATAATTAGTAAAACAGCCAAACCTGCTGCTTCTCCCTGCCTTGAACTGACCCAGACCCTTTCATTTTCTCTCTTAGACGTGTCCCTCAGCCTGAGGAGACCTCAACTTCTCCCCAGATTTGGGGCAATTTCTGCCAGATCTGGGGAAGAGCTGAGGGGCCACCTGAACAGAGGACACTGATCCATTGAGAGGAGACCCAACTGTGAGTTTGGCAGCACAGGGAATGGGGTGTGTGTTCAAAAACACACTGGAATATTCATTTGCATGGATGTGTCTGGCAAGCCAGAAAAAAAAGGTCTTTGAGGAGGCCCACTGGTGCAGCTGGAAGTGTTTGGGGGTCCTGGGGTGAGCCCCATACTGCTGGGTCCCCAGCACCAGGAGGAACTGCAGAAGAGGGTCAAAAAGAGGGAAAAAACAGGTAAGAGGCTTGCAAGGCAAAGAGGGCACTTGCCAACAGCACCTGCTGAGGGTGGGAAGCACCTGGCACCCCCTCCTGCCACAACAAGCCACAGGAAATGTTGAATTAATAACAATTGCTGGGTTTGAGGACTGCAGAGCAGAGGTGCCCCCTTCCTGGGGTCTCCCTTCCTTCCAGGGGGCTTCTCACCTCTGCCTGTTGCCCTTGAATTAGCACCAGGAGGAGGTTGTGGTGCCACTGCCCAGTTTGGGGTTGGGTTTTGCTGCTGTTGCACGGGGACAGCAGCCCCATTGCCCCCTCCCCAGCACACCCCAAATAAAGAAGGACTCTGAAAAGCAGCCCCTCTCCATGGGGCTGTCAGGAGGGCAAGCCTGAGTCCTAAAGCTCTGACCCAATCTGCCTGAAGAAACACGTCCTTAATCTTTCAGATCTGCTTTATATCTCGATATATTTACTTATATACACACACCCCAGTGACAAGCAAAGCCCCAGCCCTCCCGGGGAAGCAATCTCAGCTGATGGAATGACCAGGCAAGCAGCTCACACACCCCTGGCCTCCCTCCCTCCCTTAACAAGTCCCGATTCATCACTGTTAATTCGTTTCCTTCCTCGTTTATTCCTCGGAGAAAGTTCTTAGCCTCTTGTATTTTTAAACCCCCGCCCCAAATCCCGGGGTGGTGCCGAAAGGGGCGTTTCAGGAGGGGGTGCAGCAACTGGATTGTTTGTTTGTTTGGGGTTGGTTTTTTTGTTGGTGTTTGTTTTGTTTGGGTTTTGTTGTTGTTGGTTGTTTGTGGAGTTTTCGGTTTTCCTTTTTTTCTTTTTCCCTTTTTCTCTTATTCCCTTTTTCCCTTCTTCCCCTTTTCCCTTTTCCCCTTTCCCCCCCCCTTTTTCCCCTTTTTCCCCTTTTCCCCCCTTTTCCCCCTTTCATGGAATCATAGAATCATAGAATCTTAGGGGCTGGAAGGGACCTCGAGAGATCATCTAGTCCAACCCCCCTGCCAGAGCAGGGTCACCTAGAGTACATCACACAGGAACTCATCCAGGTGGGTTTTGAATGTCTCCAGTGAGGGAGACTCCACAACCTCCCTGGGCAGTCTGTTCCAGTGCTCTGTCACTCTCACAGTAAAAAATTTTTTCGGATATTCACCTTGAACCTCCTATGCTCCAATTTACACCCATTACCCCTTGTCCTATCACTGGTCATCACTGAGAAAAGCCTAACTCCATCCCCCTGACACTCACCCCTTACATATTTGTAAACATTGATGAGGTCACCCCTCAGTCTCCTTTTCTCCAAGCTAAAGAGACCCAGCTCCCTCAGCCTTTCCCCTCTCTTCCTCCCTTTTCCCCCTTTTCCCTTTTCCCCCTTTTCCCCTTTTCCCTTTTCCCCCTTTTCCCCCTTTCCCTTTTTCCCCTTTTTCCCCTTTTCCCCCTTTTTCCCCTTTTCCCTTTTCCCCCCCTTTTCCCTTTTTTTCCCCTTTTCCCTTTTTTCCCCCCTTTTTCCCCTTTTCCCCTTTCCCCTTTTTTTCCCCTTTCCCCTTTTTTTCCCCCTTTCCCCTTTTTTTCCCCTTTCCCCTTTTTTTCCCCCTTTCCCCTTTTTTTCCCCCTTTCCCCTTTTTTTCCCCCTTTCCCCTTTTTTTCCCCCTTTCCCCTTTTTTTCCCCCTTTCCCCTTTTTTTCCCCCTTTCCCCTTTTTTTCCCCCTTTCCCCTTTTTTTCCCCCTTTCCCCTTTTTTTCCCCCTTTCCCCTTTTTTTCCCCCTTTCCCCTTTTTTTCCCCCTTTCCCCTTTTTTTCCCCCTTTCCCCTTTTTTTCCCCCTTTCCCCTTTTTTTCCCCCTTTCCCCTTTTTTTCCCCCTTTCCCCTTTTTTTCCCCCTTTCCCCTTTTTTTCCCCCTTTCCCCTTTTTTTCCCCCTTTCCCCTTTTTTTCCCCCTTTCCCCTTTTTTTCCCCCTTTCCCCTTTTTTTCCCCCTTTCCCCTTTTTTTCCCCCTTTCCCCTTTTTTTCCCCCTTTCCCCTTTTTTTCCCCCTTTCCCCTTTTTTTCCCCCTTTCCCCTTTTTTTCCCCCTTTCCCCTTTTTTTCCCCCTTTCCCCTTTTTTTCCCCCTTTCCCCTTTTTTTCCCCCTTTCCCCTTCGGAGCCCTCCTGCCTCGGCCACATCCATATATATATCCATATATATATATATATATATATACATGTATATATATCTATGTGCGTGTCGCGCTCCCCTGTGTAAGGAGAGAAAACCGCTCAGGGTTTCCCCGCTGCCACCAGGAGCTTTTTCCCGTCCCACCCGGCGGAACTGGAGTTTTCACTGATGAAAAGGCCACATTTATATTCCCAAAGCTACCACGCGTTACATCAGAGCAGTGGGTGCCCGAGCCCACGCGTGTCCGTGCCCGGGGGCTGCGGGAAGAGGCAGCACGGCTGCAAAACTCCAGTTCCAGACTCATTAACCCCCCACGATTGCCATTTCTAGTCTTTTCAAGGTGTTTTGTTGGGTGTGTTGGTTTTATTTCCCCCCCCCTTCCCCTCATCTATTTCCCATTTACCAGCTCATCCATATGGAAGACACGGCTCCCACTTCCCTGAGAACTGTACTTTTTAGGGCTAATTGATTCTGGTAATTAATTTGTTCTACCTGCTGGATCAGATGGAAACACTGTCCGTGTGCCCAAGGATTAGCACTTGCCTTCCTAACATCTTTCTTAATTATCTAATAGCATGGGTTGGGCGAATTCTGCCTCTATTACAACACTTTTACTATTAACGGCAGTGATTGGAATTGTGATGACAACTCGATTTCAACAAATTAGAGCTTAAAATCAGGAGATGAAGGAGAAGTGCCTTCTTTTTCATTTCCCCGAGTTTAACATCAATAATTAGAGCAATTTGCTGAGATGCGAACAGGAATTAGCTCGGCTGGGATGTGCTGGATCACCCTCCTTTCAGCTAATTGACTCCGGGGAAATGAATGGTA